ACTCCCTGTCGAAGACGAGCCGTACGATGGTATAAAATGGCCGGGGGCATCATATTGAACAATTCCTCTGAGCACAATCTGTTGTACAAGCTTGTTTCAATGTCCTTACAGGATACATCTCAATACGACATGGTACAACAAACAATAATGGTTAGATTTTAAAGCAACAAATAGTAAACATTCCAGCCAGAATACATAATAAGATTAAAACCTCTATTCGAAATATTATTTAATAAAACAAGTGTTCTTATTAAATGTGCGTAATGGAGCAAATTTGATTTAGCCTTATGTACTTCAAATAACACGTGACGTCTAGCACGAGTACACAAAAATGTTTATGTTAGCCCATATCGTCATAGTCGTAGAATACTGACGGATCTGACGGAAATGTTACATATATAGACCCGTCAGTATTCTACGATTATGACGATATGACAGAATTTTCAATATCTAATTAATAAAAAATACGATCCTTACTTCTAATAAACAGTATATATATATTCCATATACATATATCGTGACCTTGTTACTATTTTATTACATTGAGTAGATTTAGTACTCTACTATCTATGGTCGCCTTAGTAGAATCAAGGGCTTACGCCCTCCAATAATCCTTCCTAGATTCACACAGGGGATAAATCCCACGGACACACGAGGTTTCTTCCTTGTATCATTACAAAATACTACAGTAAGGTATACATATGATTATTTGCATATGTATAAAAATAATTAAGTATACCTCTACATCAAGGATGGTACTAATAAAAGGTAGTGATTACTTGTTCACCCCTGGCTGTGCAAGCACACTAATCCTAGGGGGAGATGGGATTGCCGATCTCCCCGTGGTTCCTTTTGGAAACCATCGTGGTTGATTTATTGTTAGAATCATCACAGTAGACTAACTGACATGCTTCATTCTCACCTATCATCCCTCGCTGGTGCCCCGCCAGTGTATACCGATAGCGCAGGCGGGGTTTTTTTTTTTTGATGAGTGAAAATGGTATGGTAACCCCGCCTGCGCTAACGGGATACGCTGGCGGAGCACCAGTGAAGGGTGATAGATGAGAATGAAAACAGGCCAGTTAGCCCATCATGATGAATTCATCAGGAATTAACCATGATAGTTTCCAGAGGAAACCGCGGAAAGGTCGACCTGGTTGGATATATTGCTAGCAATGGGATTCTCAATTTCCATTAGTAACAATCCCTTTCCCCCCAAATTGCGCAGGCGGGGTTACCATTCCATTATTATCCCTTAAAAAAAAGCACACTTATCCTTGTTCTGGGGTAAGATTTTTTTATTATTATTTTTTTATACTACTTAGAATGGCAAACAAGCTGACGGCCCACTTGACGGAAAGTGGTAACCGTCGCCTATAGACATGAGCAGTACCATGGACATAATAGAGTATACTGTTTCGCCCATGATACCCCCCCCCCCCCAAGCGTTGTCATTCCTGAGGACTCAGGTGTTATTCCTCTGTACCCTGTAAATTCATGCCATATCCCACCCTTTAAACCGAAACACAGCCATGCAAACACAACTGCTTCACGGTTGAAACACGAATGGGACAGAGGTATCCAAGCAATCGACTTTTGTACAAAGTCTCCGTCTGGTAACGCTAATATTACGAGAGTTGCAAGTTCAATGACATTCCGTTTAAGTAATATATTATATGTACCGTACGGGGACAGAGAGCTAACCCATTAGTCAGTCCCTAATTACTCTTGTTTGCCGCCAGGGACTGAACTCAAACAGTTGACAGTACCTCGAGTGCGGTTTGATGAAGCAGTTAAACTTGCCTAAGAAACACGAGTTAACGGGATACTTGTTTAATGTAATCTTTGTTTAATTTGTTTTTACGAGCTATCTGTTTATCGTGCATTTAAATTGTTTGGTGCAAACAAAACTTTATGATGATAAAGGGTTGGATAGGAGCGTCACTCAACTTTATCTGAACGAATGTACTAATGAATAGATCGAAAAATAACAAAATGTTTTTTGCCAAAAAATTTATTATCTTGACAGCTAGACTCTCTCGCCCTCGCCGTCCCTTAGTCGTCTCTTACAACACCCACGGGATAGGGGGAAAGGGATTGTTAGTAATGGAGACTAAAAATCCCATTGCTAGCAATATACCCAACCAGGTCGACCTCCTCGCGGTTCCCCCTGGAAACTATCATGGTTAATTCCTGATGAATTCATCATGATGGGCTGACTGGCCTGTTTTCATTCTCATCGATCACCCTTCACTGGTGCTCCGCCAGCGTATCCCGTTAGCGCAGGCGGCGTTACCATACCATTTTCACCCATCAAAAAAAAAACACCCACGGGAAAGGAAGCGGTGGCCCATTCTATACCACACATGGGCATATACGGCGAACACCACCACTGGCGAAAAACACGAGCCACCTGTGTCTTGCTGTTGGTTATTTTAATTACTAGTATAGTATTATCTGTGCTATTAAAGAAAAAACATGAATTGATTCATTTTTTTTTTGGGATGAATTTTCAGTTTTACTTGTAGAAATTCACACTGAATAAAATTTCATCCATGGATCATCATCATGAGAGGGACTGGCTGAAAACCAGCGCTGTTCAGCTGTTCACATTGCGCTGGGACACTCACAGCATCAGCTGAGCCGGTTCCTTTTGCCTAGTATGGGACACTTTTTGTATATGTTATTTATATTTTATATTGTAATTGTATGGCAATAAATGTTTCTATTCTATTCTATTCTATCATCATATCAGTCTTTAACTGTCCACTGCTGAGCACAAGCCTCCTTCTTGGAAGACTTTGCCAGTAGTTGCCACGCTTGGCAGGTGGATTAGCAACCGCAGTTAGGCTTTAAACTATAGCGATTAGTATTCGAGTACCCTGTGTACTCGAAACCTGTATTCGACGACCTGAATTCGAGTCACTACTCGACTGAGCCTACATGACACTTCATTTTATCAACGGGAGACTTTGTACAAAAGTAATTTGCTTGGGCGCCTCTGTCCCATTCGTGTTTCAACCGTGAAGCAGTTATGTTTGCATGGATGTGTTTCAGTTTGAAGTGTGGGATATGGTAGTGAATTTACAGGGTACAGAGGAATAACACCTTAGCCCTCAGGAACGGCAACGCATGGGGGGTATCATGGGCGAAACAGTATACTCTGTTATGTCCATGGTACTGCTAATGTCTATAGGCGACGGTTACTACTTTCCATCAGGTGGGCCGTCAGCTTGTTTGCCATTCTAAATTGGATAATAAAAAAAAATTAACAATTGAAGCTTCACCAATAAGCACAAATATAATAATAACGTCAAATTGAGAATCCCACCTTTTTTTTAATTATCTTTACAACTAGAATGATTGCTATTATATTCACGTACCTATTTGGTTTACAAGTGTAGACTCAGAGAGTGGCCTAACTTTTTCCATTCATTACTTTTTATACTTGTAACTTTTTCTTTTCTTTGTATTACTCAATTTGTATTCAAGCACTGACCGATTGCTAATGTATTTATTGTGTATAAATAAATCTATTTTATTTCGTATTTTTTTTTTATACAACTTAGAATGACAAACAAGCTGACGGCCCACCTGATGACTGATGAAAGTGGTAACCATCGCCTATAGACATGAGCAGTACCATGGACATAACAGAGTATACTGTTTCGCCCATGATACCCCCCATGCGTTGCCATTCCTGAGGACTCAGGTGTTATTCCTCTATACCCTGTAAATTCACACCATATCCCACCTTTCAAACCGAAACACAGCCATGCAAACATAACTGTTTCACGGTTGAAACACGAATGTATGTATTTAATTTGTACACCCCCTCAAAATGATTTCTTTCTATACAGATATAGATAACCTACAAAAATGACTGTTATATAAAAGTTATACATTTAGCATTATGTTAATCAATAACTTGAAATAATGTCTTCACAAGTTACAACATAAAATATTGTTGGAACACAACAATTTGTTGTTTCACCGCCACCAAAATGTTTCAGACCTTATAGTCCGTAGTACTTTTGATTGACAGCCGATAATAGGGCTCGCCGATCGATTGATGAATGGAGACAGCTCGTTAAAATATATTGATGTGTAACTACAGATGGGCAAAGCACCGGGTTTAAACCCGGTGCTTTGGTAAAAACCCAATAAACACCCATAAACTCCCATAATCACCCAAAAAAATAGGTTTTTACGTATTTTTTTGAAAATATGTAAGTAATACCAATAAATTATTTTTATAAATTGTATTGATCAATTCTACAATATTAAATAAAACGTTAACTAATAATATTTCAGGAAATTTTAAAAATCTATATATAATAAAATGAAAGTAATTAATTTTCAGTGTTTTCATGTTGCAGTTGATCAACATGTTGGCCTTTTGCTTCCCGTAGATACTTTAAAATTTCTTCATAACACCTCGTTCGCACACATGGCCGTATATATTTAAATTCTTGAGCCACTAACAGTCCGAAATACTCATTTCTTTTATCCTCTTCTCCATAAATTAAGCATTTAGAACAGTTTGTTTCTTCTTTCAGTAAATTTTCTTTTACTTTATCCTCGTTTTTTTCTTTGTTGCGACGACGCTGGGTAAATCATCTGGACACTGGGTCTCACTATCGCCAAATATATTTGGAGATCGGCTTCGGCTACGGCTTGGCAGACATTTTTTTCTTTCTACAATTTTAAATTAAATTTATTAGAATAAATGCTTCGAACACACGCGATCTAAGTACCTTTTTGTGTTTATTATACCTTACCTACCTAGGTATAAAAAGAGTACTTACGTAGATTTTCTTTTATTAACTGTTTTATACGAAGATCTTGATCTCTCAAATTAGCATCCATTTTACTTCCAGTGATTATCAACTAAATTAATAATCCACAAAGTATTAAATAACGTTTTTATGAAATATTTAGCACAAAAACAATACCCTTTAAATATCGATCGTCAGTAACTGTGGCTGACTTACCTATATTCTAGCAAGCAGGACTGCCAGATGTGAAGGGGAAATCCCCAATAAATTGTTGCATGTGACTGATGATGTGAGCATGTTCGTTTCATAATAAAAATGTTGCCAGGTAACCAAAAAGTCGTATGTTTTTGTGCGAATTACGATCATAATCTTTACGATCGTACATTAAAAAATAGACAAATAATAGTATGAGTACGATTTAAATCGTATATCTGTCAACCCTGCTAGCAAGACAGCGACAAAATCACGTTGCATAACAATGTAGCCCAAGCTTATATCTTATGAAATATACGGAAGAGATACGGACTTAGAAAAAACAGAAATGTTGTTCTTTGTGGAAGTCATTGATGAAATTCTATGTATTTTAGCCCGCAAACTTTCTTCAAACAAAAACAGCGCCATCTAGTATCGAGTTCTGTAATTATCTCTTTGTTTATGGATTTGAAGTAAGACCGCCACGCATGCAATACATTATGACTGGGGATTCCCCTATTCGTCGACGCTGAATATGAGGCGACGACAATCACTGTCAAACGTGTTCACTATTACTCTGACTCTGGTAACGTGACTTCCTGGTAACGTGTTAGGTAGGAAAAGCAGTAAAAAAGTGCATATTAAGGGAGCAGATTTGAAATAATATTTATACTTAACAAGAAATAATTAAAGGTAAGTGGATTTTTGAATGATACAATTATATCATGATCACTTAACAATTTTAACTTAAAATTAGATGTATTATTACAAGCTTTTATTTAGCTTGCGTTATGTAAATAAAAGTATGTAGGTATGTTCGTATGTTGATGCAATTATCCTCAATCCTCAACCGACTGGGATAAAATTTTCCATACACGTTTATTTTGGATGATAGTGCATAGTTAGCTGAGAGTCGTCATTGGATAATAATGGTGGATAGCCTAAGATGTGTACTAGATATTTATTTTTAACATAATATGCGTAAGTACCTAATCGAATTAAAGAAGTTGCTGAGAAAAATACAGAACAATACGATAATAAACTAGCGTCTGCGTTTAATCCTCCGAGGAGATGTAATTTTACAAAGGTTTTTTGTATTTATTTTATTATTTTTTTAATAAATTTATTGTAAATAACAAGAAATAATCATTGTAAAAAAATAGGCACTCTATTGTTGAATTTTCGTCAGACCAACTAATCATCGTTCATTTTTTTAGGTTCAATGGGGAGACCTAAAGATTTACGCATATGGGAGCACTACCGTACTTTACCAAACAAGTCTGTTTCTTGCAAGCTTTGTAATAAGGTCTACAAATTCAGTAATGCTGCCAAAATGCTTCAACATCTTATCACTTGTCCAAAATCTCCAGAAACATTAAAAGACTCTATGAAACTTATAAAAGATAGCTCGTCCAAAACCAAAATGTCTGGACTGTCAGAGATAGAGACAAATGATTCTTTTATAAGCCCCTCGTCGTCTGCTAACACTACAATAAATGCTGAGTTTCAAGACACCGATGATCATATAAAAACAGAATTAGCGAGAGCTATATTTGTAACAGGGACGCCATTATCGATGGTGCAACATCCTTTATGGATACAATTTTTCGAAAAATTGCAACCAAAATTTAAAATACCTTCACGTAAAGCTTTAGCGACAAAATACTTAGATAAAATATATAGAGAAATGCGTTTTGAGTTAAATGAGGAACTAAATGCTTGTAGTTACTTACACCTTCAGTGCGATGGCTGGTCTAATTTAAGAAATGAAGGAATAATAAACTTTCTTATATCAAAACCTCAACCTGCATACGTTAAAAGTTTGAATACAGAAAGTAATCCTCACACTAGTGAATACCTTAGCCAAGAAGTTGAAAAAGTAATGAAAGTGTATGGAGCAAATAAGTTTCTTGTACTTATTGGCGATAACGCTAGAAATATACAAAAGGCATTCGAATTAACAAAACTCAAATATCCACATGTTGTTCCTCTCGGTTGCTGTGCACATATCCTTAACTTGTTGTGCCAAGATATTGTAAAGATACAAGAAGTAACTGTGTTTATTATGCAAGCCATAAATATAATAAAAACTGTTAAAAGGAGTCAACGATTAAGTTCCTTGTTGATAAAATCAAGGCAGGGTGAAGATTCTACACAAACACTAAAATTGCCTTGTGCTACAAGATGGGGAAGTCATGTTACTTCGTTAAAAAGTTTGAAAGCAAATAAGATAGCTTTGCAAATATTAACAGTTAGAGAAGATGTGGTAATTTCAAGAGATATTAAAGATTTAATTCTAAGTGATGATTTCTGGACGAAGACAGGGGAATGTATAAGTATTTTGGAACCAGTCACTGAAAGCATATTTTACTTAGAGAGCGACCAGAATCGTTTGCATCGCACATACATTACATTTAGAGATGTACAAGCTAAGATACGTTTTGCATTAAATGAGATTTCGACATTGAGCGAAGAAAGCAAACAGCAGATTCTAACATCAGTATCTTCAAGATGCAATATGGCAATGAGGCCAATACATTTTGCAGCATATATTCTAGACCCCAGGACTCTAGGAGTCGAACTTACTCAAGAGGAAGAACTTAAGGGTATGGAGTTTATCTACAATTTAAGCCAACACTTAAGTTTGTCAAATGTAATGGCAGATTTGGCGTGTTATAAAGCTAAAGAAAACTTTTGGGCCAGAGGATTTGTATGGAGCTCATTAGATAGCATTGAGCCCCTAATATGGTGGAAAGGTATTTGTGGTTCCACTGAGTTAAGCAAAGTAGCGATTCGTATTCTATCAGCTCCCTGTACTTCGGCAGCCACTGAGCGTTCCTTTAGTATCCAAGGCTACATACATAATAACAAAAGAAATCGACTTACAACTGAAAGAACTGAAAAAATTTCATTCATTTGTTATAACTGGAATCTTAAACATAAAGCTGAATGCGAGGACATTCAGTTTAATGAAGAAAATACCTTAGAAGCTTTCATTGAGCAAGTAAATGAACATAACAGTTTAGACGAAATAGAGCCTATCGAACCTATACAATTCATCGCTTGTAATAACTCTGAATCTGACAGTGATTGACTGTAGTTTTACATTTTACTTTCATCTCTTTCTTAATAAACTCAAAATCAAATTAAAAGTTTTTTATTCTGTAGGCTGCATAATAATATTGTCTATGTCCAGTATAGTGGACGTCTTGCGGCTGAGATGACGATGATGAAGTACAAAATCATAAACACCCAAAAATTTGGGTGTTTATGGGGTTTAAACCCAATAAACCCAAAACACCCGGTTTTTACCCACCAGACTTTAAACCCACCCAGGTGGATTGCCCATCTCTATGTGTAACAAAAGAAAATATATTTATTATAAACATATTTTACCGAGACCCAAAAAAGTCGTCTACATCGTCGTCATGTACGAGTACATGCCTACAGAGGTGCCTTCTTCTTATTGTTGTCTAAGATTGAGAGGGAGACTTTGTACAAAAGTCGAATGCTTGGATACCTCTGTCCTATTCGTGTTTCAACCGTGAAACAGATGCGTTTGCATGGCCGTGTTTCGGTTTGAAGGGTGGGATATGACGTGAATTTACAGGGTACAGAGGAATAACACCTGTGTCCTCAGGAATGGCAACGCATGGGGGGTATCATGGGCGAAACAGTATACTCTGTTATGTCCATGGTACTGCTCATGTGTATAGGTGACGGTTACCACTTTCCATCCGGTGGGCCGTCAGCTTGTTTGCCATTCTAAGTTGTATAAATAAAAAAAAAAGATTCATAAGGTTTTTTTAACTATTCGAGATAATTCCAGACCTAGGGGGTCTGGGATGGGGAACAAGTGGCAAACGGATCCATCGATGGAATCGTTATCGAAAGCGAGTCCAATAGTTGGAATGAGACATGCGACGTTGCTATCTCATTCTATCTCACGGACTCACTAGCAACGTCGATTCCATCGATGAATGCGTTTACCACTTGTCTAGAGAGCCAGGCCCTCTAGACAAATGGCAAGCGAATTCATCGATGGAATCGACGTCGCTAGGAAGTCCATGAATAAGAATGAGATAGCAACGTCGGATGTTTTATTCCAACTCGCTAGCGATGTCGATTCCATCGACGAATTCTCTTGCCACTTGTCTAGGCAGCCAGATTAATTTACGTCGAAAGTCACGCTGTTGGTTTGAATAGTATAGAATAGAAATAATATTTATTAAAATAGACATGTTTACAAGCTCTTTTAAATCGTCACTTTTTTATGATTGTACTGCTGGGTTCGGGATATATCTGCTGAGAAGAATCCGTAAGATACTCTACAGTTACTCTTTTCAAATTATTGTGTACAAGATAATTTTACATTTTCATGCGTACTGTGACTATAAAAATAATTGAGTTTAAGTATTTAAGTATTTATATGTATTATTAAATGGAAAATAAACAAGCAAACCTGAGCAGACCAGTCCCCTCAAGCAGCACCCGTTCACGAATTTAACGGATGATGGCTGGCCAACATTGAACTGAACGACCCACCACGCCGTCACCAGCAAGAATCTTATACTGTGCATGACTAGCTTCAAGTTATAAGTAAATACGTCATGAACAGATAATGGTAAAATGTAGTAGAGAAATTACTGCTACGTGGATAAACTTGGAATGTTTAAATAAAATATCATTTACTACAATATCTTTTAAAGGACGGCATCACATCTTCAATGCCGTTAGAGTTTTGGGTGATCATGGGCGGCGGTAGTCACTTACAACCAGGTGAAGCGCATGCTCGTTTGCCCCCTGTATTGTAAACAAAAACACTAAATTATTCTTCACTCCAGCTACAACGTTTTATATAGACTGCTACAAATAACACTAATACATCAGTAGCGTGAGCCATGTAGGTCCTGGTATAGAATAGGCCACATCTTACTTTCCAGTGAGTGCCGTAAGAGGCGACTAAGGGGGAGTGAGTGACGGGAAACAGTGTCCCTCTTAAAACATTACCAAAAGCGAAACTACGGTTGCCAACCTACCTGCCAATACGGGGAAGCTATATTCAGAAATAAACAATTAGAATTAGCTGCTTTCAGTTAGCAGTAAAGTGAAATCGCAGCAGACGGTTACCACGAACACTCAGGTTATGGAATGAGCTTCCTGCCGAGGATTTCCCAAGAGACTACAGCATGGGGTTCTTCAAAAGTGGGGTAAAGAGATTTCTTCAGGGTCGGCAACGCGCGCGTAATACATCTGGTATTGCAGGCGTTCATAGGCTACGGTAAAGGCTTTCCATCAGGTGGGCCGTATTCTTGTTTGCCACCTCAGTGGTATAAAAAAAAAAAGACGGCCGACTGGGCCATGCAGATTCATCAAGTAGATACCTTATAACTGCGATAAAGTCTCTATTCGCTCGCTCTTACCTAAAGAATAATAATTCATATTTCACTTCCAATAGATTACATTATGAAATGAAACACAAAAGAAAATAACAAATAACAGAAAACTACATCAATTAGTGTCACACCTGTACGTAAAACATGTCATGTCTGGCCATGGAACGTTAATAATCATTAAATCAGATATAATGTCATTTGTACACATTAATCAACCAATGGCTAATCAACTGTTCGCATGTATGTATATGTATATTTATTTACGTGAAACAAAATAAAAAATGTACCTTCAAAAATTTTACCAATGAATGGGTCGCCTGATATTTATGGTTGGATGACCACGTGTTTGATTATTGACGCATTATTGCATGATGACTCCCGATTTACTGTGACCAATATGAGTTTGTATCTTTTTTAAAACACAGGAGGCAAACGAACGTACGGCTCGCCTGATGTTTATTATGGAGTCGTACTTGTATATATGTTTTTTTTATACAACTTAGAATGACAAACAAGCTGTCGGCCCATCTGATGAAAAGTGGTAACCGTCGCCTATAGACATGAGCAGTACCATGGACATAACAGAGTAAACTGTTTCGCCCATGATACCCCCCCTGCGTTGCCATCCCTGAGGACTCAGGTGTTATTCCTCTGTACCCAGTAAATTCACGCCATATCCCACCCTTCAAACCGAAACACAGCCATGCAAACACAACTGCTTCACGGTTGAAACACGAATGGATGCAGTGCAGTAAAGGCATTTTTGTTTACCAAGAAATTTAATAATTGTTAATTTAGCAGTGCATATACTAGGTCAATATGTCACTCTACCATTTTTGTCGTACATTACTGTATTTGTATTTAGTATATAAGATTATTTTTGTTTATAAATATTGTATTACTAAGCCGTTGGAAATATACATTTCTAACAATCTCGTCGTCTAAATTCAACCCGCAATTTTGGTGAACACGACGTGATATTATATTATTATAGTGAAATATTATAAAATACCAAAAAACAACAATATAATACACGTATTACAATTCTATCGCGACGCGCACAATCAGCTATGTGAGGTCTACGTCACAAGCGTATGAGACTACTTACAAAGAAGCACCATTGACTGTGCTATACCTACGTATCACGCGTCTGTGGATTGTAAAATTTTAAATACATTGCTGCGTCAAAACTAAGAATCGTTTATTATATGACTTTGGCGCATTGCCGATGGGAAAATCTTATGCCATCTGATTCAGATCATTCATCTGAATCAGCCGTTTTTGTTTTGACCAAATTGTCCCTTACACCCTGTATACTGATTCACGCGAGTGATGCCACAGAATACAGCTGAGGGAGACTTTGTACAAAAGTCGATTGCTTGGGTACCTCTGTCCCATTCGTGTTTCAACCGTGAAGCAGTTGTGTTTGCATGGCTGTGTTTCGGTTCAAAGGGTGGGATATGGCGTAAATTTACAGGGTACAGAGGAATAACACCTGAGTCCTCAGGAATGGCAACGCATGGGCAAAACGGTATACTCTGTTATGTTCATGGTACTGCTCATGTCTATAGGCGACGGTTACCACTTTCCATCAGGTGGACCGTCAGCTTGTTTGCCATTCTAAGTTGTATAAAAAAAAAAAACCTTTTAAAAACTTTACAAGACTGGTTAATGCCACTATTCTTATTTTAAAACAAATAATACACAGTGATTCACGATGAAAAGTATTATAGACACATTAAGCTTTAATTGTACAAAATTTAAAATACATAATTATGTAGTGGCAACCAGATGTTTCATCTCAAGGTAAAATATCAGCAGTCAATAGTTACAAATTTTTTATGAGATGGACATAAAAGTAAACATATTGATTTCAAAAAATATATGCCATAATCGATTCAGCTTGCCATAAAAACAATTACAGACAAATTCGAGAAATCACTCCTTTTTTAAGGCCGCATAAAAATTGCAAAGTATTATATAATAGCATTCGTAATGCCAATAAAGGGATGACAAGACAGAAATAGACTCAGTCGCTAACAGACTTCACCGGATCAAGTTTCCTCGAGTTGGACAGAACTCAAGTATTCTACTCGGGGAGAGGGATATTAAAAATTTGTTGTTCAAACTGTTCACTAAAGTTATTGTCGAGATTTAAAAGTAATAAAGGGTCCGTGGAGTTCGCATGTTTGAATTATAGCTTAATGTTTTGTTATATACTTCAAGAAAGCCCTAAGTTTGTGAATATGAAATATTCGTATTTTTTTTTATGGCGACGCGAGGCTTAGTTGTATTTCTACTTTATATACTCCCTTTTATACTCTACTTTTTTTTCCATTTATTTGGAAAAACTAACAGTGACAAAATAAAAAATAATACATAATATTAATCAAAGAAAACATTGAGTAAATTTGCCACCAGCACCGTTTACCACAGTTTCGATTCAAATATAATACAAATAGCTTAAGCAAAGAAGAACAGTTAAAAATTATATGAATCTTTTAGAGATTACCTTTTTAAAAGTGCTTGGGCGTTCATTAATAATATCAATATCATTAAGTAAAGCGTTATATGAATTCACAAGTCTATACAAGGGTGACCGTTTTCCAGAATTTGTACGACAGCGGCTAAAGCGGCTGTTGTGTGAATATCATAAATACATAAGTCGGAGTATCTGTATTTCACTGCAACGTTAGTAACAAATAATACAAATTTGTATTCCTCCAAAAGAAAAATCGACTTCATTTTGTCAAAACCAGTTATTTGATTTCAAAACTAAACTATTGAATCGATTTTGATAAAATTTGTATGGTACCAGTGAGTAAATATATGCTTTCAGATAAAAAAAAGAAATTTCCAAATCGGTTTACAACTGACGGAGTTATGAGGTGACTAATACATGAAAAAATACAACCGGGTTGAAGCCTTCTTCTTTTTGAAGTCGGTTGGACCACAG